CCCCGGTTCCTTGCGGATCAGGCTTTGACTAGCCGAAAGCTGCAGTTGTGGAATCCTCAAGAAAATTAATCTTCTTTGGCTTGGACCACGTGGTAGTATTTTGCCCACAAGCCAATCATGGAATGTTTTTCTTTTTGATAAAGATAATTGTGCCATGATTAGCTTTGTACACAATCTGTCCTCATGTCATGTAAGTAAGAAATCTAGTATAATAATATTAATTGAGTCTGATACAACTCCAAAGAGGATTTACTGTTCTGTATCTTACCAATGACCCCTTCAGTTCAGGAATCTCCATAAATGTGGGCCGATGTGTGGAGAAACGCCAATCGAACTGGTTGACACCGATTGATAAGTCTGTGGAGGCTTCCGCACCCAATCCAACCGAAAGTTGAATCAGCGAACCACCGGGAACACTCTCCCGATCGCTGGATATGATCTAGAAACAAAAACAGTTTGGTAAAAGCAGTACCGGCAAATAAAAGCACAACAATTACAATTGCTTATAATAATACACTGTAAAAAGTAACTGCAAACATGGGCTTGAGGATGTGGATGAGAGAATGTGAGCCATTTCTTTAAAATGATGAGATAAAACTGAATTCGCAAAAGCTTGTAACTTATTTATATCAACAAAGTGCTTACGAACAGCGTCCATCAATAGAGGGGTTGATTCTGGCAACTGCATTTTCTCAATCGCGGGGTTATCATCCATTACTGTAAACGTTTTCTTCCCGCTATGAGCATAAACAATCTGAAGGTATATCTAATTCATCTAAATCATCTCAAATCACAAACCTTATCGATTTTACAAAGACCGGGAAAAAGTTTCCGGATGCACAAGCAATAGATTTTCTCGAAGTATTCTCCCTTAGCGGATAACAACCCTTCGACCAGTTCAATAAAAGCCTCCGCTGCAACTGTTGGTAACTCTTATCGGATTTCAGAGCTTGACATTTGGGAACATAGTGCTACCAGAAAAAGCACGTCATCACCAAAGGCAGCTCGCAAACGATTAACACTCGACTGCTACCGATTTAAATCACATTTGTGGTTGCGGAAAATCATCGCCTTCCAGTGACATCGAGACAATTTTTTCATCCTTACAGTTCGAGTATATAGCGACCCTCGTATGACTTGTGCGCGGTACTCGGCTGTGTTAATATTTGGTTCTGTGTGAGTTGCAATCGCTGAACAATGGATTCACAAAACGAGATTACAGTTCACGTTTTCTTTGCCCGGTCAACTGCACCTCGTACTCCTCGTGTACTGACTGCGTATTCAGAACCTCGTTTTGCTCAGCCCTTGTACCGTTACCCTTTTCTTTCCTCTCCGTGCCTCACTTTCCAAACAGTATAGGTTATTCGGTACATCTCGCAGTTGATCGTGGGTAAACTGTGGTACGATTCCTCGCAATCCTGGTGAATCCCATTACTAACATGCTGATTCACTGATTCACTAGTTAAACTGATAGCGTTTACAAATAACTGCATTAGGTACTAAGTGCCCAGTGACTAACCATCTTTTACATGTGACACATGAACAAAGACATTCTTCACCTCTCTCTCGGGATAGTCTTTAAGTCATTATGATGTAATCTTTGGGCTAGTTACAGATTGCCTTCTTACGTACGATGCTCTCCACCATGGGGAACTCTCCGTGCTTTTCCCGCATAGCAGTAAACCAAGCCAAAGTTGCCTCATTCATTGTCTTAAACTTTTCATTGGTTTTCAGGTAGCATCTTTCCTCGGATGCTCTAGCGTTCAAAAGTGCTCCGCTAGTCGTTCGATGGGATATCAAATTGTAGACAGTTTTTTGTAAAATTCCAAGTGATTTGGCTACGGAGCTCTGAGTTGCACCTGGCTGATTCAGCATTTTGACGTCAAAAGACACTATCTCCGATCACTTGCATCAGTGTGTCTTCCTTGCAAGATTATCCAATCAGTGAACAGCGTCATGAACTCGTCACAATAGGTGAAACGCCATTGGCTGAGTGCGACATTGCAGGTTGGTCGGTCAATGGCCGTCCCGAACATCAGTCAACGACCAAGTGAGTAGGTATCAGGAACTGCGACATATTGAGGGGTGTGACATTGTATAGTCAGAAACTATACATTATTACCCATACGGTTGGTTTGGGTTTTCGCAAAAGTGGGAAGATATTGTAAAATGCTACTACTCGAGGGGGTGCGACATAGCGGAAGATTGACTATATACATCATCATTACTCACATCGACACCACGCTGTTTGCCCGGAACCGATCGATATCCAGTCAGTAGGCTGCATTTCGGTGGAGTGTTTGTCGGGAAACAGAAGCACGAATAACAGCCTAGCGGATAGTCCATATTCAGTCCGAATGTACCTGGCTTGCACTGATCGCATCGTGTACCCTGTGGGATTCGGCGAAGAGGATAATATGAAATGGTTCATCAGTACACTTTATTGGAAATTTTATTTTTTTCACGGTTATAATGGAAAATAAGGTGTACTGCATTCAGTGGATGGTACACTGTACTTTCCATTTATACAGGAAGCATAGCTAAGGTAACCGGAAGGATAAGTTGGAAGGATCAATCAAACAATTCATCGCTCAACAAGGTCGACTAAATGTGTTTTCCGGTTATGCTAATCGATATGACTTTGTTCTGAGTTGACACCATAGATGAATGCATAACTTTTCATCTTTTTGCAACAAAAGTGAACAGATCTATTGTTATGTCATGTCAATATGTATGGTCAATATGTGCGCCTCTTGACTAGCCCCCAACAGCGATACGGAGAGAGAACACAGTTCAGAAAACGACAGTCAGAGTTTATATTTGATCATGCCGCAATACGCAATTATAAGTGGCAAATTAGGTGTACGAGAAACGACATGGTAACACCCCAATCATATCGCCTCCTTGATACTTCGGTTGATCGATTAGACAACAGCTACTGGATTCGCCTTAACTATCCAATCCAGAATCGATTCGACTTTGAGCTTCACGAACGCACTTGTGGTGTTTCGCGGTTTGATACGTGGCCTGACGTGTTCTGTGCGCTCCGTCGTAACATTTCTCTTATGGATCACTCAAACATAGAGAGGAAGAGAGATTTCTGAAATGCAAATCTCATTTGCAGCTGAAATGGTGGATTTGAAACAAACACGTCTCGAAGCATCATGGCGATGATTCTGTATCAGGTGATGTCCGTTAGATGAGTCTAACCTCAGTCAGCTCGACGGTAGGTCCGATTTTCAGTGTTATTGTAATGAGTGTTATATGAATGACTGAACAAAAGAGTACCGGATACGCATAACGCGAAACCGGTTGTGTTCTTCTCGTAACTTTTGTCCAGTCATTCATATACTACTCATTATAGAGAGGGATTTCTTTATCATGCGCACTGGTAATCGTGTTAAACGGTGTCCTATCAATGCAAAATTCAGCTATTTGTACCAGTGTAATTGGTAAATCCTGAATTTGGACATCAAACACCGATTGAGACCAGCAGTACAAATCTGGCTGTGCGAGCAGTTCTTAGTAGCAGACAAACCGGATGTCATCATCCGAACTGCATGGCTGTATTCGCATAGACTGTTATGCACAGCGGAATCTGTAACACGCATATGTACAGCACGAAATAATTGGATTTGATTCAGACTGAGAATAAGCTTTGGTGAAGAACAATGGTTCAGCCAACCACACCTAATCTGGCGGAGTCTTATGGGGTTCACCACTCCAAGTCCCGCGGTTTAGATTGCCGGTTTCCATCCCCCATTGTAACAAGGGGGATTACTCCGTCTGCTGTTGATCATAGTAAATTTTGTAATCAAAAATAAAACTTGAGTCATATGGAGGAGACTCGTTAGAACTTATGTGATCAAAACACGTCTGACTTCAGTCAAAGATACTTTAAAAGAAACCGTTAATTTCAGTTGAATCTATTTGTCTAGGTGATGACATAAATCGGGTGTTATCTGAACCCCTTACACGGTTCTAGCTGAGTGTGTTCTGTAACTCCAAACTTGCACAACTGTTCGTTACCAGTATCTTATCGGTGCACAAAACCATCGATTCACCGTTTAGCCAAACAACAAAACTGGTTTCCGTTTCGAAATGCACATGAAATCATTTATGTTGTTCAGCGATATACATGACTAGGCTGCTTTGGAAATGGGAATGAATAAATAGAGAGAGAGAGGAAGGGTGAATGCCTAACATAATTCAACATTTCACGTCAGGTAGCTTTGAAAGCACAACACAATTGATTCAAAATACTGCTTGGTATTAGATTATGCTACATTGTTTCATTATTTACACTTTACTGAATTCTGTTAGTAGTACTATATGCACATTTTCACTGGTGAAATCAATCGATCAATTGAATATATATATATATATATATATATATATATATATATATATATATATATATATATATATATATATATAT